GTTTTTTCTTGTCAGTTTTCTTCCTAGAGAGGTGTTCTTGCCGTAGACCTTTTAGGTAGGTTTCTTGTATTTAGTTATCAAAATAAACAAGAAAAGTATTTTGAAAAGAAAAAATAAAACAAGTGGTAGCTTCTGCTCACTTTGTTGGTTAAGGAACCAATGTTGTTAAGGAAAGTGTATAGACTTTATTATCATAAAAACAAAAAGTTTTTTGAGAACGTTTGTTTTTTGGGTTGACAAAAGGATCAGCGAAAAGAATTAATACTTAAGTAGTTTATTTAGTATAAAAAAATATTAAATATATATATATATATATACAAACAATTGATATGTATTTTTTTACATTATAAAGTTAAAATTTAAATATAAAGAATAGTATTATAAAATAATATTAATAGATATTTAGTCTAGAATTAAGATTTATACTATAAAATATCTATCTAAAATTAAAAAACAAATATAATTTCATAATAATATATGTCTTATAAATCATTTTATCAATGGGTCTAAATACAAATTATTATAAATATAATATATAAAAGACTTATTTACTTTATTAAAATTTAAATAATAATAATAATAAATAAAAAAGCATCAAATATTATAATATCAACTGGATAATTATTATATTGCAACTTTTTTTTAATATTATAATTTTAATATCTATTGAATTAATATAAAAAATAACTTTATATAGAAAATAATATTTGACAAATTATAATATCAGATATATTAAATTGGTTCAATTTGTATTTACCTGAAATTGAACTTGATATCTTGTAATAAAGAATTAAAAGTACCAATTACTTTATTATAGATTCACAGATATATAAAATTAATATATATAAAAGGATGTACTTTTAATATTAATAAAGTCTCAACTTTTATTAATATTTAAAGTTAATATTAAAAGTTTACTGTTTTTTAAAAATTATTAATAATTTTCTTAAGACTTTTATACTGTTATTTTAATAAATAATTGGTTTAATTAAATAAAAAAATTGACTTGTTATATATATAAAAACATATAGAAATAATTTTTGTTTTTAATAATATATTTATTATTTTTATTTTCAAATATATTATTCCTAAGTTTATTATTTAATAGACTCATTCTTTCAGTCTGTTTTGTACATTTATTAGGTTTTGGCATTATATGGATAATAATATAAATATTTACAAATAATGTTTTACATATATATTATGTATGCAATAGCGATCTTAACAAACTATCGTCACTTGCTGAACTTGAAGTGCATTCACGAGAAACAGAGTTATTTTTGATCATTTCCAGATACACCTCCATTCACCTTATTTTCACACTTAATTATTTTAAATTAATATAAATAATATAGAATAGGATAATTTATGATTTATCAGTATTATTATTACATTAGGTAACGGGAACCATTGTAATGTCCGAAGTGATGAAAGCATATTATTGGTCCATTACGTGTGCGGACAGACATACCTTGCATCAAACTGTATCTAACCGTAGCTGTCCTTCGGACAAATTATCCAAGTCCGTATCAGAATCTGAAACATCAGCATAATTTACTTTCTTCCGTGGTCAAAAATTCCATTCTTTCGCGTATTCTTTTTCCTAAGAAAAGTCATATATACTAATTAGTGAAGTATTTTTCAGGTGTATAATTGATCATTTGCAGGATCTACCTCTTCCTTTTCAAGATCTCTTTTTTTATGCGAACAATTGACACCAAACGTTCCATCACTGATAGTTCCAGTTCCGCCTTTAATAGTACCAACTTCAGTGAATGTAGAATGGTGAAGGTGGACTGAGGGTACACTGATTTCGTTTGTATGTATCTCTTCCCATTTTCTTGCCTGTTTATAGTCTGGTCGAGCATCTTAACAAAGACTTTGTGGAATTAGTAATTATCATAAGTTCCTTGATTTTTCCCCCTGTAATTTTCCTCCCATCGGGTCGGCATAAAGGCTTGAACATCAGGTAAGCATAAAGGTCACCTGTGCCCCAATGGGACCAGCATTGGGTCGGCATAAAGACTTGAACATCAGGCAAGCATAAAGGTCACCTGTGCCCCAATGCTGGTTTTCTGGCTCGGCATAAAGACTTGAATGACAAGGAAGCTTGAAGGTTCCCGTCACGCCATTTACTACAATTAAATTTCCAATAAAAAGAATTTTACTTATCTGTTAATCAGAAGTCTTGCCTCTTTCCTTGCTCATTGGTATTAATTTCCTCAAGGCTTTTAGCCGGAGCGGTTCTCCTTTACTTTTATTTAAGACTCCAAACACTACACTTTCGTTTAAATATTCGTGCATCTATTTTGGAATGAACAAAAGGTAAAAGGCTAGGATCGCAAAAAAGTTCATTCATACCGTAAACATGAGTGGTAAGTAATGTCGGTTTGTCACACTATATATATTTTACAAAGGAAACGCGTTTGTGATACGCGTTTCTCATATGCAAGCTGTTCCATATATAAGAAAATGCGAATTCACGTGAATTAACCACTATCAACAAAGGTTGTCTAAAAAGTCTTGGACAAATTTATATACTGCATATACTGTAGTATGTAACAAAAATAATTGTGACTTTATATTTTTTATTAGAATTTAATAAATAATTATTTAATTTGAATAAAACTTTAAAATATATTATTTTTTTAGTGCAACTTTTTTTATTTATATAAATGTATATATAATTACAGATAAAGAAACAACTTTTTTACTACAAAAAATTTTTTAAAAAAATTAATTAAAAATTAAAAAAAATTTTTTATAGTATATAAATGAAATTAATAAAGTATTTTAATTTTTTTAAAGTAAAATTTTTTTTGTATCACTTTTTTTATTAATAGAAAAATTAAAAAACCCAATTTATATTTTATTTTAATTTATTTAATAAATTTATATATTAAAATAGTTTCAATTATTTTTTAAAATATTTTAAAGTATTCTTTAAATAACAATATTTTTTATATAAAAGTATAAATTTTTATCTAATTTAAATAATTAATTATAAAATTTTAAGTAAAAAAAAAATAAATTAAATTTAAGTTGATTTTTTATTATATATTATATTGTATATGAATATGAATATCAAAACCAAATTATATTAAAAAATTTTTTTAAAATATTAATTTAATTAAATTATAATATGTAAGTAAATACAATATAAAACAACAAATAATTGAAAAAAATCAATATTATTTCTATTAATTAATTGATTTATAATAATTAAAAACTAAAATTGATTTAAAAATCTTTATATTAAATTGTATATTTTGAAAAATGATTTGATTACTTTAGAAAATATAATTATATTTTAGTTAAGAAACAATTAAACAATATTTTATAATATTTTTTATATTATAATTGATCTTATATATATATATATATTAATTTTAATTTTAATTTTAATTTTTTTTAATCTTATTTTATATAACTTTAAGTAAGTATTTGTATTATTTTTAATATTGATTTTTCTTTATTATTTAAATAGATTATATATGTAAATAAGTTAACATTAAATTCATTAATCAATTAATTACATGAGAAATAATGTTATTTTATATATATACAAGATTTTTACATTTTTACAAATAATAAAATAAATTTTAGACTAACGTTCTTATTGATGATTAATTGAAAATAGTAAATATTTCAAAAATATTAATTTTAGTAATACTCCTATCCATTAATCTATTAATAATAACATACGCGATTATTAAAAAAAAAAGATTATATATGTGTAACGCATACAAATAAATATTTTATTATTATTATGATTAACGGTTTATCAAGTAAAATTAAAAGTACTGTATTTGACGTGACCAAGCATAATACACCATACTTGTTAATTTTCGCCGTCAAAAAGATCGACCTAGTTTTCTAGAAGGGGGAAATAATCAAATTGGTTAAAAATGGTAGATTATTAAATTAAACAATAACTCACTAATTTCTTATTGTATAATAATAATCATTGTTATTCTTAAAAAGAAATTATTTAAAGATAAAATTATTTGATTTCGAAAAATCATAACGCCCTAATGGAAAGGTTAAATACGAGAAAAACCTTTAAATTCAATTAAATGCGTGTAGGTAAAATTTGCAATTTATTACAATATAATTAGAAACAATTTAACATTAAATTTGTCATTTCCCAAGTGAGAGCTACAGTATATTGATGAGAAAAAACGACCTAAGGAAAATGTGTGTGCATTTGTGCTGTATTTGTCATACACCGATAATCATCCTCTTTTGGGCTTAATGGATTTGGATTATACAAAGTTCAGATACTTGTATACACCGATGTACAAGAGGAAAAAAAAGGCCTAGCTCCCACTTATTGTATGCAAATCGAGCATCATTTGTATAATTTCTTTGTCCTCGTTTTCCTGATTAATACCGTTTTCTTTCTTTTTTTTGCAATCATCAAATATTTATCTAGATGTGTAAGTACTTACGTGTTTCTTGCAAGTAATCGGCTATTGTATTATTCAAAAAGCATTGTCCATATTAGAATTATTCATTTACTTCCGAACCGCCACTTTATTTACATCGCACATTTCGATATTTGTTATTTCAACACCGCACCATTTAAGTTTACACTTGCACAATTATTTTTCGCTTAGGTAATCCGTTACTCCGGGTTATGTTGTTTTTTGATAAGCACCTTGTAAGCTCAATTCGCTCTTCATCTTACATTCCACGTATCTCCTATATTTTTTTTTGTTCCATCTCACGTTTCCCTTGCGTACCTAATTTTCTTAGTCTAACCATCGTCTAATTTCGATCTCTTTTATAATTATTTTATATTTCTACATCATTTTCGTTCTATGTTCGTTTCAGTATTTTATTTTCATTCTTATTCTTTTGCCCATTTTTACATTCCTCGTTTCTTAGCGTAGGCATATTCATCATTCCTATTAAATATCTTCTTTTCTCTAGCATAATCATTATCATCTTTTCATTTTTTATTAGTTCCCTTTTACCATTGTGACCTTTTAAAAACACATGGCACGGCAATTTGACCGTAATATTTATGCCATCATCGTTTAGAGAGAGTCTGCATTTAATATTCTTAGTTACAATAATAGTAATAAACAAAAGCCTATTTGTGAATTACCTAAACCAAAAACAGACGGATGGTGACATCGATAGTGACATTGGGGGGTATAACAATCACGGACTTTCAACCAACAAAACGATAAGAATTCTTTAATAACCAAACAAATTTACAACCGCACTTATTGTCGTTTATGTTAGGGATATTGAGAATTGTAGTAACGAAACAGAATTAATTGGTAGCTCCCCCAGTTGCGTCCAATGTCAACATCGGACGGCTAACATATTTTTTCTAATTCTTAGTCCGCTTATTGATTTTTTTGTTCTTTCATCATTATTATTTTTATTATTTTTATATTTTCGGTTCAATTATCGTTCTAAGCTCATATCTGACAATAAACAAACACCATTTATCATTTACACAAGTCAAAAATCGATCCGCTACGCTTCGATCATTTTCATATTTCATTGTCATATACCTCATTTATCCATTCATTCGCAATCAATCACATTTCGGTCTAACCAAAAAAAAAAGGTTCGAACAAATCGAAAAAATTTTAATAATCAACAATTACTATAACAATTGGAAACGAAAAACAATTCAAAGAAATACTTCGGAAAGAAAAAAAAACAACCTAAATTTCATGTTCTTACATCAAACAAATCTTTGGTTCAACTTACCTTAATCTGTCGAATTGGTCAAAGGTGCGTTACGAGGTGAGTAATTGTTGGAAAGTTTAACACAATAAGAATTAGACGTGAATAGGCTATTTTTTATGTAATAATCAGCATTGTCTCGATTGAGACTTTATCGACTGGAATGATTACTGTTTCTTTGGATTTTTTTTCTATTTTCATTTTTTTTTTTTTTTTTTAATAAATTAATTCTGAAATCTTGCCTTTCTATCTTTAATCCTCAAGAATAGATCCTAGTATAACTGCGCGCACAAAAAAAGAAATTATAATTAAAAATAAGAAATTATTCTTATTTCATGCAAGTTTCACTATAGGGATACTCGATTTTTACCTACCCGCATTCATTAGCACATCATCTCGAAGTTTCATCAAAAAACCTTGTTATGACAGGCTTACAAAATCCTTTTGCCCTAGTATGTAGAAACACTTCTCCCTCTTCTCCTTCCTCTTCTGTCTCAGACCTTCATCAACATTTCCTCTCTCATCTGTTCTCCTTCTCATCATCGGATTCCCGCCAATCCTCTCCTTCCGTCTCGTCGCAACTACCGTGCGTGTGCGACTTCCGCTTAACAATCTATCAGTGCACTGACTCCCGTCTGCTGGAGGTTACTAATTATATCCTTATAGCCTACTGTCTGATTCTATTGTGTACCGCATTAGGATTACTATATTATTTCGTTCGTGTGAATAAACAAAGTTTTTGGTTGCCTAAACAACAAGGTCGAGGATACATACGACCGGGACCATGTGTTTGGTGTTTAGTCGCAATCTTGTACTTACTGTGTGAGTATGGGTTTTTATGCATGGAGATCTAGAAATTGTGATGAGTAGATAAATTAAAATACAGATCGTTTAAGTTCAGGTTTGGGTGAATGCTTTTTATCCGTGACGCGTCACATGTTTAAATTCGCGTGAAAGACAGTACAGAAATGGGTGTAAGAGACATCGTGTTTTTCGCATCCTGAACAAAATTATTTAATATATCTACCTCACTTTTATCATTACAGTATTAATTGTATTTCATTTCATTTTTATAATTCGCAGTTCAGATCATACATTCGATACTATTGCTCTCTGATGCTTACCATAATGTAATTCTTGCCGAAAGTACGTATTACCCTGACAGTGTGAATTTTAAAATATATTTCAATGTCCTTATTCTCCTCATTCCGTCCCAAAAGTCGGAAACATTCTACCCCGAACTATTGGTGCTGCGTTCGCGGTCATATGCCTGTTGAGCATAAGTAAGTCGTTCTCTTTACAAAAAAAGTTGGAGTTTCGTAATTCTTTATTTTCCTTATTACCGATGATTTACTTATAATTTCTCAAATATCAGTTTATGCTAGGTCCTCATTCGAACTCGAAGCTTCTCAATTCGTCCCCTTCACAACCACCACATCCCCTCTTCAGCATCTCAATATTCCCCGTCGTCAGCCTTCTTCGCTAAGCTCGATTCTTTCTTCGGTGCCAATTACCAACTACACCATCCTAACTGACATCATGTTCTTTCTTCTTTTCCTTTCGCCCTTCGTAACTTTCCTGACACTTGCCACATTAACGGGATATTATGCGGACATTGGAGATATTGAAAGCGCAAATTCGTATTTTCGCGTTCACCAGTTGGTATGGTTCTCTTGGGGCTTGTTGTACGTGACAGTGATGGTTGGTGCGTGGTGCCGATTCATTAATGTAGTATGGGACGGAATTGAGGGAATGCGTGGAGAAAATGTGAACATGACCGAAGGAACAAGAGATAGGGGCAGGGAAGTAAGAATGAAATTGTTACAACTGAGAAGTGGATCTTGGAATGTAGGTGTTTTACACTTCGGATTCTTTGTTTTGAAATGATCATGTCAGCGCACTTATCCTCCCACAACTACTTTAGCTCTCATTACCAATCCTGGCCCAACTAATAATTGCCCTCATACAACTTCCTGCCTGCCTACTTTACGGTTTATATCATCATAACAAGACCATTTATTATCGAGAGATTAATCTTTTATACTTCTTTATTTGGAACCTGTTGGTACCGGTGGTAATTAATGTTACGCAGTTAGTGATGATTTATCAGTGAGTATTGTTGATGTTCAAAGTTTATGATAAATTTCTCGAGATGTCGCATACTAAATACTCTCATCTCCTTTATATCACTCGTTCATTTGAATTGATATTAAACTACTCTTGTCGAACAGCATAATGGTTACTCCTAAAAGATCGTCCTCTTCTCCCAAGTATTCACCTTTTTTAGTTCAGCACCACTTTCCTCCCAGCATGCAAAATCTAAACTTTGGCGATTCGTTGGCCTCTCACTTTGATTCCGAAGATGTAAAGTTTCCCGAAAAGCAAAGGATCCCCGTTCACGATTATAGCTATAAAAACAATGATTCCTCGATGACTCCTAACCAGACTCAAGAACTTGATCCGATTCCGACAATGATGCCCCGACCTCCGCAGAGATCGTTTACGAGTCCATGGATCCCACATAGCACGCATTTCTCCGTTAACAAAAGACATGACTCTGATCCCGAATATACATTGTATCACCAAAGGAAGAGGCTCGACGATACATTTACTGTTTCCAGTCAAAACGATGCCAATAACAATCCAAGCACTTATGATTACTACTTTGATTCTGGGGGATATGTTCGCCGGAGTTTTAATAAGGGGGTTAGAAGTAGTTGGACCGAAAATTTTGACAGCGACGACAATAATCATTACATAATAGAGGACGCGATAGAAAAGTGCGAAGAGAGTGATGTGAGAAGTTTTGGAGAAGGGAGTGGTAGTGGTGATGGTGAAATAATTGGAAAACGTGTAGACAGCGTCTTTAAACATTACAACTCGAATACCGCAGTCACGAGCACCCATGTTTCACATCTGAGCCTACCTGCGACATCTTCGTCTACTATGCCACTATCACTATCACCCACTGCTATTCTATCACCAATCTTCCCCAAATCATTATCTTCGTCAGCGGATATCACGTCAATAATACCGACGTTGCCTTCAGATACGACATCCACACCATCGCCGACCCTAAATTCATCTCCAAATAAACTCAAATCTCCATTCTCATCACTGGTGAATAATATAAAATCCCCCAAATATTTTCGACGACAATCGGATTCTTTGTTGATCCGATCGAGACGGCAAGAGAAAGGAAAAAGAAGAAATGACGATTATTCTCCGGAAATGAGTTTCAACAGCGCATTGCATGAATCGAATGTTGTAAGAGGAACATCATTTTCGCCCGAATATTTAGATGACGTAATAAGTATTGATGAGATGAAACCTCCAAATTCCGAAAATGGTAGCAGTATCACGGGTATAGATGCGCCAATGAATCAACATAATCAAAAGAGCACTAGAAGTTTTTTGAGAGGACATAGACGTAGCACTAGTAGCAGTGGTGGTGGTGCCGGTGGGGTAACGAGCATTCGTAGCAGTACAGAGGGAAAAGGAAGTTTTAATGATCTTGATAGGAATGTCTATTCAGGTGGATTAAGGGAAGTCACAAAATCCATCGCAAGCGGTTTCACTGGAGGTGTGTCCATACGTCAACATATCAGGTATCCTTTTCATCAGAGAAGTTTGAGTAGTGGAACAATTGCTAAAGGTGTAACCAATTTAACGGCTAATGAAGCGAACCGAAAGAGATCCGTAACGTTACCCGAGTCCGAAACAGTGAGGAATCTCAGATACCCAATGCATCAAAAAAGCTCATCTTCACCCGAGAATATATTATCTAATCTATACCAAGACGGAAGGGATAATGGCGAGGGAACCTCAGGTGGTGGGGGTGATAGGACAAGGAACGAGAATTTAGGGGCTGATGACCTGAGTAACATGAGGAGGGAGTGGTTGTTGAAGAAACCCGCACCTGCCATACCTCGGCCGCAAAGAACCGACAGTTATAGAGATTACAAAGACAGCATATAGGTGTGTCAGGTGTATGACGTGTACATTATCATATTATGCAAAATAAGTTGCAACAGGCATATAGAACTTTGAGAATCACCGAAAATATGATTTTTAAGTTTACTTTCATCCACAATAAGCTGACCCATTTTGCATCAATATATTCAAACAAGAAATTTAATTTAAATATTCTGGGTTTAGCACGATAAAAGCCGGACTTTTGCTAAGAAATTTATTTATATTAAATTTTTTTTGTATAATTTCATCTTTTCTGCCTTAAAAAAAAAAAA